GTACCTACATGAACTGAAAAACCACTCAGAGAAGAAGAGGCCCTTTCTCTAGAAACAATATAAAGTCCAGGTGACAGTTTGGAAATGTACTCGGGGACAAATGTCTTTTTTTGGTTTAGTGACGTGCTCTCTGGTCTAACGAAACTAAGCAAATTAAGTTTAAGTTATAATGACCATAATTATTTTTAGAAGAAAAGAAAGCAGTTTGCAAGCCTGGGAACATCATCCAAGCTGTGAAGTATGGCGATGGCGGCACCATGTATTGTGCTGAGGAATTTCTGATACACTTCTCAAACTAGATACCATCATTGTCTGAAGAATGTCAAAATACATCTTCCAGGAAGCTAAAGCTTGTCTGTCGAACATACTATGACTAAGAATGTTAGAAAATTAGTTTGAAGGTGACTTCATAACTATGGAGGACCAAAACCGACATAATAAGAAATAAAAACATAAATATATATTTTGTTTTTCCTTTTCCTTACACATGAGTTTCCATCAAGTAATGTATATATTTTCTTTTTCATTTCCCCTAAACATGCATTTTTGTCAAGAAAAGTAAATATTTTTTGTCCTTTTTTTGCTTCTCCCTTTTCTGCTTGCTCTTTCTCTGCTGCATGGTTATGTTAATGAGGAGAGCTGCCTTCTATGTCCAGCTCCTCTACTATTGGTCAATAGAGCTTTGGAACCAGCGTCACTGCGTCAGACACTGTGGGGCATTTACAGCTTGCGCAGTCGCTCAGTGCCATCTTTCCAGGCCACAGACCAAAGCAAACTTTATCCTGGAGGTTTTATTGTGTTACCAATTGCTGTGAAGTTAGTTTCGAGTTGGATATTGGATATTCCAATATCCGCCAAGCAAGCAGCATATTTAGCTCAAGGTTGATCCGATTCATGAACACTAATTTCGGCCAGCCGTTCTCCAGTTCCCTTCTCAAGCGCTCTGAGGTTCACTTCGCTTAAGGACTGTCAACAAATTTCCAAACCAAACAGTAACTAACTTCACTGGTAGAACAACTGTTACTCATCTGCACATACTGTACTAGTATGTGCAGATGAGGTACACTCATTTTTATTTGATTTGACCCTTTTTATTCCCTGCCGATACACAGCTCTACATTACCATGTCACCAGGTGACTCTGAACCCCTCCAGTCACTGAATAGATGCTTAAAACAGATAAATGTGCCAACATTTTCTGCAGCTGAACAGAAACAAAAGTGAAATTATTATTTTTTGACCTTTATGCTCTGTCCTTCAAAGGAGGAGGACGCTCTTTCTCTGTCTCCCTGCCCTCCCTATCTTCCCTGCTCAGCGTCTGTGTCCTGTGTTTTAGAGTCTTTTTTTTTTTAATAGCTTCTGAAGTTGCAAATTATGGATCTGGTCAGCTGGTCTCTCAAGGCAATTGTTAAAATTTTTTCCACTGGGAAACCGGGTAAAGGGGAACCCTCGTGTCCTGATGGGACATTCTTTGCTGGATATACGATGGATTCTACATGGAAGTGGAAGACCATGTGTCTGACAATGCTGTCAGTCGAGGATGTTGAAGATGTGTACATGATTGGATTCATGATAACAGGTTTTCTGCTTATTGGAGTTGGCTGCTGATACCTGGATTATTAGAAATTTCGGAAGATACCGGCGGCCATTTTGGCCACTTCAAGGCTGCCAGGTACGGTTGATGGGATCTGCAGAGCGATGAAGACTCAGACTGAGATAATACGGGAGCTGAACTGACTAGACTGGGTGCGATCCTAGAGCAGGACCGTGGCCGAGCAGCGGATCTCGGACTCAGAATGGATATGATGTGACCTTGGAGAACGTTGTTCGCTCGGATCAGGCGGGAGACCCTAAATTTGGCTGTTTGGATTTGCCACTGAGAAGCACCAACGAGACTTTCAAGGAAGGCATTAAATTTATGTCAGCCTTACCTAAACAAATTTTTGCTATCAGAATCTGGCTCCCTGGGCTGGTCTTGGCTGGCCAGCTATCCTCCCCTGGTTGTTATGTCTGAAGAAGGCTCTGTTCTGCTGCCTTCCCCTCCCTGGAACATCTGTGACCCTGAACTGATACGCTTGTGTGTGAACCTGACATCATATTCACAGACAATCACTGACAAATCACGTGCTTCAGTTAGGCTTCATGGTCTGACACATACATAACTCACATGAGACCCATATGCACGTCAGACCTCCTCGTACCTGGCTTGTTTTGTTTATATGTGTTCATATATTATTTAACATTAAAGTTATTTAAAATATTGAATATGACTTGACATTTAAATAGAGGGTAGTGTGTCTAATGTAAAAGCATGAATTACCACATTTTGGTATCGGTTGGTCACAAGGCAAGGCTTTTATTAACATTTGTTTGACAGGAGTGTTTGGTTTCGAAATTTGTTGACAGTCCCTAAGTGAAGTGAACTTAGGGACTGAGGAGGGAGCTGGAGAACAGCTGGCCGAAATTAGCGTTCATAAATCGGATCAGCCTTGAGCTAACCACCGCTTGCTCAGCGGATATTGGAATAATCAATCAATCAACCACTTTATTTTGGTAAGTTTTCCACATTAAACACATATGTATCCAATATCCAACTCGAAACTAACTTCACTGCAGTAAAACCACCGGGATAAGGTTTGTTTTGGTCTGTGGCCTGCAAAGACGGCACCGAGCGACTGCGTGAGACCTAAACGCCCCACAACATCTGACGCAGTGACGTTGGTTCCAAAGCTCTATTGACCAATAGTAGAGGAGCTGGACATAGAAGGCAGCTCTCCTCATTAACATAACGATGTAGCAGAAAAAGAACAAGCAGAAATACAGTGAGCAGAAATAAAGCAAGCAGAAAAGGGAGAAGCAAAAAAAAGACAAAATATTTACTTTTCTTGACAAAAATGCATGTTTTGGGGAAATGAAAAAGAAAAGATTTATTTATGCTTTTATTTCTTTTTGAAATATATATTTATTGTCGGGATTTAGGTTTTTCTGAGTTCTCTGTATGTTTAGTTTAGGTTTCTTTGTCTTATTTTGATCCTGTTCCTGTGAGTCCTGTCTTCCCTGATGATTGCTCCCAGCTGTGTCTAGTTCCCTGATTACCCTCCTTATGTATTTAACCCCACCTGTTGTCTCTGTCCTTTGTTGAGTCCTCGTCAATGTTACATCCATTGTCCGTCGTAAGTCTTTTGTCATTTGTCTGCACCCCATCACAGTTGAACTGTTAAGTCCTGTGTTGGTTGCTCGTGTATTCAGTCTTCAGTTTTTTCAGTTGCTACCGGTAATTAGCTGTGTGCTATAGTCTCTGCCGTGCTGCCTGTATTGGACTGTTTGAGCTCTCTTTATTAAATCATCTTCATCATCACCATAACCTCGGTCTCAGCGTTAATCCTCACCACCTCTCAAACCACCACTTCATGACATTTATGCTTTTATTTCTTATGTTGGTTTTGGTCCTCCATACAGGACAACATAACCTTAATGTTGAAAGCTTCTTAGGTTCTGAAACTTAGATTGGAAATATCTAGCTTATAAATTTTATTTAGGAGTAATCACAGTAATGGGGGAATAGTGTTCAGCAACAAGGCCATCAAGCTTCATGAAATGCTGGCCCTACAAATTCCTATCAGTACCCAAGAATATCAACATGTTTTTTTTTTCTATTAAATACAAAGGAAATGTATCTGAGCCACTGAATTTGGAAAAAGTAAGAAAGTAATCTCATTATTTTGGTGTTTATCAAACAGAAATAATTTTGGTTTTCCTTGCTGTCCTAAAACAAGAATAGATTGCCCTAATTTAATGCCAGACACAGATGAAAATGAGTTATGTCTTCTTTTGAGTACATGTAAATGTCTGGTTTTATCTGTACCTACCTGTTGTTTAAAGGGTCTGATTTTATCTCTCGGTTGTTCTTTGAAAACTGTCATAACAACTCCTTTGTGTTCATTTCTTGGAGCACCAAGAATTGTCAGAGGACCATCGTTGGTTTTAGCAACAGCCATGGAATAACCTGGAGTTTAAAGGTTAAATAATCAGAGACATCAGGGAAAATAGTTTTTGTAACATTAAACATTTTGGACAGTTATGTTGTTTAACAAACTGAAATACCTACATGTGGCTTTTTAATAGACAAATATAGCAGCTTTCTGGGTCAATTAATTATCTTTGTTAAATCAAACTGAAATTGTGCAGGTAAAAAGCCTTAGAAATCAGATTTCTGATCTATTCTTACCAAGGTAACTGTCAGGCTCAATGAACAATGGCTCAAATGTGACGTTGTTTAAAACATTACTAAGCAAGTATTTCTTGTAGCCTCCTTTCCACTGGTTAGCACCAACCATAGTCATCTGAATATACTGCAATGCAAAAACAAAGAGAGCAATTTATTTCAAATATGGGTTGTTTTAACGCCGTAACACCGTAGCACTCTGAAAATTTCACTTTGATATTGTTTACCCCAGACACATAAGCTGTTCTGAAGCCTTCTTGAGACATTTCTTGTTTCAGCGTCTGTCCAGTCCCTTGAGATCCTGTGCAAAACAAAAAAAGATATTAGGTTTCTGAATTCATTAGAGAACTCAGAAACCTGAGATGTTTTGTAGGTTTTTGAGTTTTTGTTTCTGCAAAGNACAANAGTAAAATTTCTAACTATATATTTGTTATATTATTGTGATTTGTTAAAAGCCACAGTTATGAAATAAAATGTGATATCAAAAGCATTTTAACATGCTGAAAAGTGAACAGTTGTTTGTAAAACTATAAATTTTTTACCTTCAATGGAAAAAATTTTGGCCTGCAAATTGTTCTGTATTCTGTCAAGAGCATCAAAGCTTCCCACTTCAAACACAAAATTGTCAGCAGGTTGAGATGCAATCGTTTTGAGCTCTTCTTTTGCTTCATCAGTTTTGGATGCGTCCCCCACCTAGAGGTGTAAATACAATGCGGGTAAAACATTATATTGCAGTAGTTCTTTTTAAAACGGTAGTCACAATTGTCTTCATCTAAATTTTCTCTTAGTCCATGTTTTTGTGTCAAAAAAAAAAGTCGGAAAAATATACCTCTTTTTCTGACTTTTTAGCACAGTACAATAATTTGTTTTAAAAACTTTAAAAGTTTGGATTATATGTGAGAATTTATATCAAGATCTTGAGAGGAAAAGAAAGAAACTGTGTCTTTTAGATTTATGCTTTTGACAGATTCACCTTACAAATGAGGATGTAACAATGCAGTAAGTATCAAAGCTAATAAAGGTTTTTGCGGTATGAAAATTTAGTGTATCTAGTTTTAACACACAAAAGACATAAATATTTACAAGAAATTGGAAAAGAAGTAATAGATGCAACTTACGCCAATAACAAATCGAGCTATTTTCTTTTTATCAGCTAATTGTGTTGCTGTTGGTAATTGTTCGGGATCATTTGACTGTCCATCTGTAATCACTATCAAAATCCTTTTCACATTTGACCTGGAACCCTTTTGTGGTGAGAAGACATCCTCCCTACCAAACGAAGAAGAAAAAAAAATTTATTATATATATATATATATATATATCGATCACTGATTACTGATCTCGACATTTGATGACATTTCATTTTCATTTAGTTTTAATTAATATTCAACAAGCTGAATGGTTAATCCACATTGTGTCATCATCTGGCTGATTACAGTTACCTCTTTCTCTGCAGTGACAAAGTTTTGAAAGGCACTATTTCGCCAATTTAAGTGATCAGAAGTCAGCAAGACTCTGAATGCTACCTCATCCTGCAAACACTCCCTTCAGTGGAAAAATAATCTCACAGCAATGGTTCAGATTCACCAGATGCATTCCAAAGTCATTTGTCCATAACTTTTTACCACGTGGCCCCATCAGCTCTCAGATAGCGCCCAGATGAGAGATGATATTCTGAAGGAAATTTTTCTTCTTATGAAGGGGTCATACAGGAACGATCGCTTCCTGGAGCGGTGGTCTGTTTTGAGGTTTTAAATTTGACCCATTTGTTAACGTTTCCCTGTGACTTATGTAACACGCCAGTTCAACGCTATGAAGCTTACCATAAGTTAGAAGATAGCTATCCTCCTCTGCAAAGAGAAGGTCTGAACCGAATGAGATAACTATTAATGTTCATTTAATATTGGGAAGTGTGGCCACCATGTTCACTTCTTCCGCCACCATTGCTTAAACTACAGGCAGACTACAAAACACTGCAGAAAATCAACATCATCATTCTCAACTTCTCCTTCTGTTTGCTGATTGGCCCAGTAGATGTTCTTCTGGAGAAAATCCAAGTAAATGGCAGAAAGTCCAGATTGTGTTGTAAGCGAGATTTGAATTGAGCCGAAAAGCACAGGAAGGCAATGGGCAGGCTAGGGTCAATCTAGAATCTCTCTTGAGTTACATCAATAATTATTTTTCCTTGCGGGTGAAAAACATGAGCTGCTAAATAAATGTTTGCTTTCTTTAAACAGAAAAAGTGGTATTCTATCATGACTTTTGAAAATTATTTTTAACTTTTCATTTGTTAATTTATGCTTTCTGTATAATACACTTGAAATAATGTAGTATGTAATACATTGACAAGCCACAATACTTACACAACATTTTGGATGGCTTTAGCTGTAAATGTTTTTCCAGTTAATTGACGGATCTTGTCAATCTGTGATTCCCAGTTGGAATTGTTAAAAGTATTAAAGTCATATTCTGTTCGTGGATCATTGGAAAACTGGGTAATGGCAAACTGTAAAAAAAAAAAAACATGGTTATTAAATTAAAACTCCCTTCAATAAAAAAGAACTAGAGTACAATAAAAACAGCAAATAAATTAAAAAAAACGTTTTTGATGAAGAAGAAGTTATGATAATTTTTTTCATTCCCATTTGCCTTACTGGATAATTTTTGTGGGCCTCCCAGCTATGCCCAGCAGCAGACACGTTTACTAAAACAATAGACCAAATTACCAATGAGAGACTCACCTGTGTATCTCTTCCCAGGAATGTTTCGATAAGCTTTTTCACAAAGTCTTTCATTGTGTTGAAATCTTCAGTAGATACGCTGCCTGATCCATCCAGCAGAAATGCAATGTCAGCTTGGCTTCGACACTCTGAAAAGAAATCAGAGATCCAGACCGGTTTCCTGACCGTTATACAAATGTGCTAATGAGAAAGTTAATATCCAGTTTACAGAGGGAGTGACATAATTATGATGGAACAAGCTCACTGTGCCTACCTTCAGTCGCAGACGGATAAGACTTTCCAATCGTATCATATTGATCGATCTCATAGCACAAACCATTAGACATGGTGATAGTTGTGCAGTCTCTGGGAATAGTTGGACCACATACCTGAAAAAGGTGTCAATAATATAACAAATTCATATTTGATGGTCACTTTAACTTTATGTTTTCATCCATTATCTATTCATTATTTTCTGCAGCTCATCCTCTCACCATTGTGTTTTGTGTTGACGGATCATTCGCCATCGCCAAACCAAGAGACATGTTGACAGCAGCTTTTTGCTCTGTAAAAACAATCACTGGTGGTGACAACTTTTCTAAGCTATCACCGATTTTACCTGGTTCCCATATAATAAATACCATACTATTGCAGCATTTCACTTTGTTTTCATCTAAAAACCCTCACAACTGATGATAGACAAGACAAATTAACATAATAGTAAAAAATTGCTTTAAGTCAACAATTTTTAATATAGACACAAATACTAATTGCTCCACTGGCAATGTGTTACAAGACCTTTTTCCAGTTTTAAGTGAAACAAACATCTGCTGGTTGTACCGTTTGTGGCTGTATTTAAGATTGATTAACTTAAAGCAAGCTTATTAATCATATTTTGAGAAGTTACTTCTAAGCTATTTTTGTGTTAGTTCAAGTGTACTAAAATATTTGAACTCAAAACTAGATAAACATTTTTGGTAAGATTGTGTGTTTTTACCTTGTTGAAAATATTTAGATCACAATATGGAGTATCTAAGTTTGAAGGAGGAAATACTTTTTATAGGACTGCATGTTTGACATTGCTCAGTATTTAGTGTGAAATATTTTCTTGGAGCTCCTGGTGCAACCAACATCTGGTCATGAGATCAACTTTTAAAATTTGTAAGTTCAAATATTTTTTATTGTGAAATTTGTGCACACCTAAAATCAGGAGTAAAATTATTCCTACCTAGAGCAAGAATTTTGCTACATCTCTTCTCTCTTGGGTTGCACCGATATATCCGTCCCCTTTTATTCCCTTGATACTCCAGTAGTGGGGCGCTGACAAGCACACTGAGAGAAACACAGAAAACAATATTTGGAAACCATTTTATAAACATTATACAAAACAAAGTTTTTAAAAATTTAATCAAGACTCACTCTGATTGTCTTTGCACCACCTGGTAGCCAAAACTTTCATCACCTTCACTCAAAGTTGTCCAAGACCCAGAATCAACATTAAAGCCGACTGCAGCTTTTAGCACTGAGGAAAAAAAGAAGAAAACAATTCCCTGAATTTCTTTAATACAGAGCCATGAGCGGGTTTATCATTTGTTTGTTATTCACGTTTTCTGTTTTAATGACTGTGTACAGTACCATTTCGGTGAAGATTACGGGAGAGAGCTGACATATTCAGCAATGTCTGTGTTTAACCTCTAGGGAGCACTAAATACCAAAGTCTTAGGTTGGGAATCTTCTTCCACAAACCCTTTTAGCTTCATCCATCCATTTTCTTACAGCCTTATGTCATTGGGTTCTGGAGGGGTGCTGGTGCCGCCAACGAGCGACAGGCGGGGTCACCCTGGACAGGTGGCCAGGCTGTCACAGGGCAACCCAGAGATAGCCAGGACAAACAACCATGTACGCACGCACCCAAGGAGAATTTTAGGGAACCTAATTAACCTGACAGCCATGTTTTTGGACTGTGGTAGGAAGCCGGAGTACCTGGAAAGAACCCACGCATGCACAGAGAGAACATGCAAACTCCATGCAGCTGGGAATCGAACCCAGGACCTTCTAGTTGGATATTTCTTTAAATGAATAATGTCACACGAGGTAAGATTTTGACATTATGGTTCACCACTCAGGGTGGTGTGACTTTGGGGGCAGCAAACAAGGAAATAGTAAATAAATGTGAAAAAATTATATCAGGTTATTTTTCTGTTGCTTATTTTCAATGTCCGTTCATTTGTAGAATGTATGAGATATGAATATTAATTCATTTATAGATGGCAAATTAAGCAAAAAATGTAGTATGGATTCCACGTATATAGGAATTATGTTCATGCACAAATTTCTACTGTTCATCCATTAATTCAAACCCTGGGGGGTGGGGGGTTGAATTAAACTTCTTTTGTGGTAAACCTCTGCAGATATCTGGATGTTAACATTCTGGTTTGTTCATTGTTTCAAAGTGAGAGTCATTTATTGAACCTTATTCATCAGGTGTGGAGAGTTTCTTGAATTTAGTTATTTCTTACTAGAAGCTTCCTGTTTTATTTTGGTTGTTTTGGTCCTTTCTGTTCTGTATTTTCTTTACTTCCTGTTTTCCTACTATTTCCGCATTTCCCAGTCTCCTGTTGGTTTTGAGTCTTATATCCAGGTGTGTTTTAATCCTGTGGTGCTGATTAGTTTCTTGTTTGTTCAGTTCCTGTTTTACAGTTCATTTTCTGACAGCTCCCATTTGTTTCTCAGATAAATCATGTTCCACTCGTCAGTTCTCACTAATTTAATGTTAGTGAGAACTGGAACCTTCGGTTCGTAGTCACAGCTGGATGCTTAGTCAGCTAGTCTGCCCCATGTAACTCATTGTCTTCCCTCCATTTTCCCTCCAGTTTGTTCACAAGCCAGGAACGTTTCATAATAAGTTTTTGCACCTTGAATGTTGTTTTTCTATGCTTCCTTTTGGTTTTTGTCGACATATAAATTTTTGCTTGATGTGGATGTTACTCAGGAGATAGGCACCAGCACCCCTCCCGACCCCACTGAGGGACAAGGGTGTTCAGAAAATGGATGGATGTTACTCAACCACCACCTGTAAGACTGTGGCAGTAAGGATGCAATAAATCATGTTTTGAAATATTTTTACAGAAAAGCTGCACTTGAAAGTGTTGATCTTAAAAGTTCAGATTAGTTTGTTTTCCAACAGGTTTCACCTGATAACATTATCCACAAATATATGTAATGACAAGTTTTCATATTTTATTGATGGTCAATCACTAAATATAAGTGAAGCAAAGTACAATGCACGTAGAAAACGTCTCTTGTGGCCAGAGTAAGGACTGTAAGAAGTTCAGTATCTAAAGAATAAAATGCCTCTGCTGTTTTCTACGTAAGACATAAGAAACTGTATTTACTTTACATTTAATCGTATAGATGATATACATAGGGGATTTTAAACATAGATCTTGTGCTTAGTTCTATTATTTATGACTTTGTTGAGTAACATTCAAGAAGTAATGGATAAAACAAGAGCTTATTTTATTGTCTGCAGCTACCATCAAGTAATCACACCTAATGAAGTTGTCACATTGGGACAAGACATCTGAATGAAATAAAGATACACAATTGTTCCTTACCTGAACAGAAAAGTGCCAGAGTAATTATCCAGTCCATTGTGCTTCTGGCATGGAGAGCCAACTAAAAGTGTGATATCCTCTCTGTGAACCAGTTTCAGCAGGAAATGGTGGCAGGGAGCGTCACTTTACCCCCTAAAAGCGCTGAGGGGTACACTGCAGAAATTTAAGCAGACTCCTCAAAGCAAATAGAGGAAGAGTGACGTAGGAGGAGTTACGACAGGGGCACTTGAAAATCAGATCAGAAGTATTTTAATTTCCTTTTTTTCCGTCTGTTTTCTAAAATTGTAGTGTGAAGTCTTAACAGCTTTAATTAATTAGCTCAGGTTAAACCGATAGCAGGAGGAAACGGGATCAGGGTTTGCTCACCTGTGTTTGGGTTGTTTTAACTATAAATGTAGAAATAATAAGGTTGCGTCAAAATAGGGTATCATTCTGCCATTTGTCTTTGCGGATTTGGGTTGTTTAGTATTTAGTCTAAAATCTGTGAAGCCACATCCTAAAACGATGCCAGACAGATCTGCTGTAGTTTTTATCCTGCAATAAAAATAACTTTGCTGCTTAATTTACATTAGTAAATCTGCTATTGATTTCACTAATAACCTCTGATTACTTTTGCATCAAATATCTGGTGTTTTTGCCCCTTCTAGTCATAAGATATAGAGCTGGAAGTGAGCACACTGCTGCTTGCACGCAGCTTTCTGATACCGTCTGTTTTCATGTCACAGTGTGTGAAGTGTGGTGTGGGAGGAGATATCTGCAGAAACTTTGTTTACGCAACATACCCTCTTTAAGTGAGTTATACAAATAGAAGAATATGGAGCAGATTTTGTATGTAAGCAGAAATAAGCATTAACTTTCATTACACAACATTAAATTATTAACAGCAGCTTTGACTGGTTTTTGAAACATTCATACCACCATTAACTTTTCCCCTGCGTTTTATTATGTTATAAACCAAGCATAAAAGTAGCACATTATTCTGAAATTAAAGAGAAAATACTAAAAAAAAAAAACATTTAAATGGTGACATACATTTGTATCTAGCCCCATTTACTCCAACTTAAAATAAATCTGGTGCATACAAACCACGTATTGACGTGACATTTGCAGCACACTCTTTTTGCTGCTGTTCAAACCTCTAATGGGTTGTGGTTTTGTTACACCCTAAAGCTGCAGTTTGTAACTTTTATTTTAAAACATCTTTTTTTTTCATACTTATTAAAACGTTCACCAACACAATTACACAGATAGTCTCTGAAGAGATTGATATACTCCACCTTCTCCATTCTACTATTGCTGTCTGAAGATATGCGCCGTTCCCAACCAAAAACAACCAATCAGAGCCAGGAGGAGGGTCTTAGCGCTGTCAATCATTCTCGTGAATGTACTGCTCAATGAGCTAATGGCAGAGAAGCAACTCACCATTACAGGAAAAACTGTCAGGCGTCATCGGTTGCCATTAGCTTTCAGGGAGGTGAAGAGGAAAAGAGCAGCTCCGCAACAGCTGTGATTGACAGCGCTAAGACCCACCTCCTAGCTCTGATTGGTTGTTTCTAGTTTGCACTTCTGATGGCACAGCAGCTTGATTTATTTTTATTCTCACAGATTATCTGTCTCATATTGTCACGACATAGTGACAGTTTTAACAAATAGGTTAAAAAATGTTTTAATAAAAGTTACATACTGCAACTTTAAAGTCAGTGCATTAAAATAGTCTATTCTTGTAATTCATAGCCAAACTTAATTAATTAACAGCAATTTGCTGAACATCACTTTACTTATACTTGTCTTAAAGAAACAAGAACATGCGTGTGAATAGCTACAATATGCCAAGTTACTTTCCACAAAAAAATATGGTGACTCCATGAACAGATGGGAGTCTACAGTATTTCTCTACTGCAACTTGTGGTATTATTTATTATCCTTAATCCAAAGCTATATGATTTCTTTTTGTGATAGTTTGAATAAATTGGTCATTGCCAAAGGAGAAGGTGGGGTTTGTTTCTGTTAAATAAAGAGAAGTTGCTGCTTGTTTGATTCAGGAAAAGTCCAGATTATCTAGGTGTGAAAATATTATCATTTAGCCATCTGTCAAATCATACATAAGTCTTTCAAGTCTTCTCACAACGTTAAAATGAAAAGGAACATTTCTGCTTCTGTCAGACTTCCTCTGAATATTCTTATCCTGTGTGTGAGACAGGATGAGCTGTTTCTGTATGTCAGCTGGTTATCAAAGATGAATTGACAAAGGTGTATGTTGCTTATGAAGAGAGAAAAAAATCATGTTTACAGAGATTGTTTCAGCTGAATTGCATCTTGAAAACATGAAGTCTGATCTGTCTTATCACAATAATCTGAGGTTTGCTGCAGGGTGAGACAGAAGGCAGTCTGTATTTTGAAGTCGGTCTGCTTGTGGAGGTTATGTTCCGTTTCATGCCTGCCATGTCTCAACCTCCTTTCTTTTTCTGACTCATTTAGCCACCAGCTCAGGAAGTGAACCTCCCCTCTGGCTGCTGGTTATCAGTGATAAAGTTTACTCACTTTGTTCTGCTTTTGAAGGGTTGAATTACGCAAAATTCACATTTTGCACGTTTTTATATTTCCATTTCAGTCTCAGCTGCTTCTAAACATGACCCGAGTGCTTAAAAAAAAAAGCACCCAGACATTTTTTGGTACTAAGCTAATGTGTTTTGGTGTCTGGGAAGCGACAGCATCAAAAACTGTTGGAATGTAATGTCTCTAATCAGCAGGCGCTAACAACCCCAGCAAAGCCCAGATCGTTGCCTAGCAACTCTAGCATATTTGGTCAGCTGGTTTTACCGCTGTATGCTCTGTACAATGGCTGCTGAAAAATACAAGTGTTTTGATGTTAACTTACCTGAGCCAGCCTAAGGGATAGTTAAGCGGCTGCTTCAGGGTCTCACACCTCCAGGGAAACCTAAGAGCATCAAGCTAGCATGATAAAATGTATGTATATATTTGAAATAACATTGAATAGCCCAAACTAAATTCTATCACAGATACAAATAATAGGCTAATCTCTTCCTGATGTTGGCTGCCACCACAAGCGAATTATAAAATATTAAACATGTTTACTGTAAATTTTGCGTTTACCAGCTGATGTTACTTTCAGATATGTAAATTAATATGGCATACCTAAATACTACTCTGCATTTAAAAATCCAAATGTTTTTTTTAGTTTGCTACTCCTGTAAGATTAAAATCATCAGCCACAATATCACTGGTATGATGTAAGCTAATTACAAATGACAGTAGTGATAGTCGGTATCATTCCTAAGCTACACATACAGAAGCTTATGTGTATCTTAGGAATCTGCTTAGAGCCCCAAAAAGGCTTGGACTGGCTCTGTCACTTACCATCTCGAAACCACGTGCCGCATTTTCACTGGTTGTGCAGGAAGCTCCACTTTTGCTTTTCGAAGTTGTAGGGTTGAACATCTGTTTTGCAGGTTTTTTCTCGTGAGTGTAAACGTGTAAACGCCACTAGGGGGCGTGGCCAGCAACAGCTTATTTGGTTTTAAAGTGACAGAGCCCTAAAACAGCTGATTCTAAAAGGAGCTCGACATAGGCAGAACTGAGCAAACTAAAATCTGATTATCTAAGAAGGATTTTCTGTTAAAAAAAAATAATAATGAACATGTTTTGTTTGACCTATCTGAAGCTGTTTAAGTAAGCATAATAGGTCACCTTTAAGGCTCCCACTCCTCACCCACTACCCAGCTGTGGGGTGGGTATCACAGATATAAAGCGTCCAACCTTAGCTTGCTGTTCGACCCCCATTCCTGCCAAGCAAAGACGGGCGAGAAAGGTCGGGAAAAGGTCAAGGATCAGGGCTCTGTGTTGCCGTGTCTGGCTTGGATTTCTAAAGGCAGGTTTGCAATGTCACTTGCTGCACAAGCCCCCATATGTACCATTAGCTCCTTCGCTCTACAGAGTGATTGCAAAAGTTTTAATTCCCCTTTAACTTTCACATTTTGTCTCATTACAGTCACATTCTTCAGTCAACCTATTTATATTTTATATAACAGACCAACAAAAGTAGATCACAAATATGAGGTAGTAATCATGCATAGGTTTTGAATAATGGTCACAGCTGCAGAAGTGCAGCATGTATTTGTCTCAGCCCCTTCAGTGTTTCTACCACTTTTCACTGCTGTTGTAGCAGAAAGTGTTACTCTACCTGCGTTACACAACTAGAGACAGATGTTTTAACCATTTACTTTTGCAAAATACCTGAAGCTCAGTCAGTCTGGATGAGGAATGTCTCAATTGCATTTAGAACAGATGTTTCATAGTGTGAATAGTGAATCCAGGATGATGTGCAGTGTTAATTTTCCATCAGAAAAGGAATTCCCTGAGGATCTTCTTACACTTTTTTGCTGGGTTTTCTTATCACTCTTCAATAAAGACCAGAATTGTTGAAATGTAACGCTAATAGTTTTTTCTGTTAACTAGTTCTCCCACCTGAGCTGTGGTTCTCTGCAGCTCCTCTAGAGTTACGGTGCTTCTCTTATTGAAGCTCCCTCACAACATTTTAGGTGAACGGCCATTCGGTAGTGCAATGCATTTTGCATGTTTTGATCATGCAGTGAACAACTCTGGATAAAGTTTTAGAAGATAATTCTGCTTTAAACTTAACAATTTTCCTGACCTGTCTGCTGGTTTCCTTAGTTTTCAATGTTTTCTAATGTTCTCTAACAAACCTTCTCAGAACAGCTGCATGTGTACTGAAAATGACGCCATTTACTGTATCAGGACAAATAGCTGATTTTATTTGGGTGTAAAATCGGCTATTTTACACCCAAATAAAATAGCTGGCAAAATTGACTTGCCTGTTAAAGACAACAGGTAGGTCAAATATTTTTGGTTTTTATTGATATTTTTCATTTAACTTTACATCACATGAAACTCCATAAAACACATTATAGTTTGTGATTTTAACTCTACAAATTGTGAAAAAGTTGCATCCATGGTACTGTAATACAGAGCAGTGTTCTACCATTCAGCCTTTAAAATAAGAGGCTTGTTTTGGTTTATGTAATACATTTTTAACAGTGTTTTAGTTTTACACATTTCACTAAAGCACTAAAAAAAATGTTGGAAATTGCTGAATTTAGGTGCAGGAGTGTAAAAAAACTGGGATCAAGCAAACCTGCCTGTTCACCTCTACAACCGTTCCAACTTTGTTGCGTTCTCTGCCATTCACCGAAACCATCTTTGCCCTTTCAGTGGCTGCTCACTAGCATGCTACTCCAGCCTGAGAGCTCGCTGAATGTCACAAGCCGTCTCTGGTTGCGTCCTGTTCTTTTTATAGCCGGGCAGCTGAAATGTGAGGGGTCACAATGGCAGGATAAATACAAGGGCCAGCGCGGCAGAGAGGTGTCGCAGACGAAGGCCGGATCTTCTGCCTACCACTCTTCTCTCAGCTCTCCTCCCAAACTCAAAGGTAAAATAAAAAAGAGCGCAGAGTCTAAAATCTCCTCTTTTTATTTAATATTTTGAATAATCAGAGATAAAACAGACGATTGTCACATTTTGTAAGTGCGAGTTGACTGCAAAAAGATACGTGTGCTGCATGCAACCCTCAGGCTCACTACTGCAGCTGACATGCTTCGTACAAGTTTTTCGCTTGTTTATTACAAAGACTTTTAATGTGTGGTGAATAACATCATCACAGTACTTCTGCCTGCAAATCTGTTTTATCTTTAGCCCCTATACAGTGAACATAACAGCTTGTTACGGTTCAATAGGTGCTGTGAGTGAGCAGACAGAGCATCAGAGACTGTGGTTAGTGTGGTGGCGTTTCTGTTTTCGATACGTGAGAAACTAACAAGTTGTCGTTTAGAAATGGTTTTAATCCAGTAGGGCTGTTTGCATTGTTAATCCTCCTCCAGAGTGGCATGGCTGCTGAACATGTGAGGATTTTTCCTCGACTTTGGAGCCTTGCAGTGGCATACCATGTAAATTTAGCTCAGCCTATTCATAGAGCAGGCAAAGACAAGAGGAAGCAAGTGAAGGGAAAGGTCAGAGATACTAGGCTGGAAAATGGAATAGGTCAGCCACATGCTAGGAGGGATTTTAAAGTGTGGGGGTGGAGTATAGATCTCCTAAGTACGGCGGCATGTTAGGGCCACTGCAGATAGAAAAAAACACAGAAAGGTGGAGTTAATTTAGCCAGAAAGCTCATAAAGTTTGAGTTTCATCACAGAATTCCTTTCTATCAAAACAAGGACTTTTCTGAGCTTCAAAAATTTACAAGATAAAAACCTGAAATTTTTAGATTAATCTCATAATTATTTATTGAAACAAGGAAATTTATGAGCTCAAAAAACTGAAAATCTGTGAGGAGAAATAAAAAATGAAATTTTGTAGGACAAACATTTGAAACTCTGAAATCTCAAAGTTTTTTCTAGAAACATTTCTGAGATTTATCTCAAAATTAGTCAGCTTTTTGGTGGAAATTTACCCCTCATTTTTTTCTACCTAATCATCAGTGCGTTGTTCTGAGAAGTAACAGAAAACACTCATACATGTGAAACTGTACCAAACGCTTTAGCAGGTTTCCCTTTATACCAAAACTTAGAGAGACAAAAAAAAACCCATATGCAAATACTCCTCACCACCACTTCCTTCACACTGTCAACCTTTCGGTCTTTGCCCTTCATTGAGCACTTTCCCACTCATCTAGAAGAAAACCAAAACCACAGACGTTAGACGTTGCACCGTTGCAGTTTTTCTGAACTTTTCCCCCCGTTCAGTACTTGGTAAAGTTTAAGCTCCTTTGTTTGCTCTTGGTGGTCCTAAGCTTTGTCTGTGCTTCCTTTCTCTACGCAGAGTCAGGATGCCTCACGCTTATCCTTTCCTCACTCCTGAGCAGAAGAAGGAGCTCAGCGACATTGCTCAGAAGATTGTCGCTCCAGGCAAGGGAATCCTTGCTGCAGATGAGTCCACAGGTGAGAGAGAGAGAGCAGTGAGAATCCACCGCGAATGTAAAACAAACATCCTCCTTAAAAATCTATTTATATCATGGCAACCAAGAGCTAAACACTATTTAGCACAATAAACGTAATAGCAGCTGTATTGAGATCTATTGCCATGTTGCCCTCTGTTTTAAAGACCAATATTACTTTTTTGTTGTTTTCAAAAATAGAGAAAATGATTAACAAATCTAAACTGTTTCTATGGATCATTTATCAGCGTAGTTTAATTCAGTCCAGGGTTCAGTTCTTAATGTCTGGGAGTTTTTAAACAGGATACCATTTAAAGTATCCCAAACTTCAGCGTTGTAATTCCAAACTGCACTTTAATAAATCTCTGTTACCAAAGAGTTATCCTGTTGGGCTTTGGCCAAGCCTTTAAGCTTTAGATTTTGAACAACAAACAACCATTGGAAATAGAAACAATCTTTAATGTCCCTCAAAAGGGAAATTCAGGTGAAATAGCAGCAACAGATTTAAAGGTTCACACAAAAAGTTCTTAGTGTTAAAACAAATGATAAAAAAAATCAAGATTGTAATAATAATAAACTATATATAAGATTACAGAAAACATTATCCTTAAAAAAAGAACTTAAAACTTGCCCTTTAAATGTTATTCAATAGTCTGATTGAGATTTGAACATTATTTTCTATCCCAGCTATAAATAGTAGCTCAGATGTGGTATCAAGCTGATCATGTGTCATATTTTTCACTAAATTACCATTTGTTTACTGTAACTACAACCACAAATAGTGTCATTATTTAGAAATGTTGATTCAGCAATGGTTAATAGCCAAACCCGTGCTAACTGGATAACTCTTTAGCCTGAAATAAGTAACTTTGAGACACTTTAGCATTGATATATGCACCTTTAAATCAAAATAATATGGAATCTTCTGCATTAGTTCAGTCAAAAAGTGGTTTTATAACCTGCAGGGAGTGTGGCTAAGCGCTTCCAGAGCATCAATGCTGAGAACACTGAGGAGAACAGGAGGCTGTACCGCCAGCTCCTCTTCACTGCTGACGACCGCATCGTCCCTTGCATTGGTGGCGTCATCCTGTTCCACGAGACCATGTACCAGAAGACCGACGACGGAAAGACCTTCCCTCAGTACCTGAAGGAAAGAGGCATGGTGGTCGGCATCAAGGTAGACAAGGGTGTTGTCCCTCTGGCCGGGACCAACGGCGAGACGACCACCCAGGGTGAGTAGAACAGCAGCTGGCAACCAATGATTTGTGCCAGCCACTTTTACAATACGTTCCGTCCGACAGGTCTTGATGGACTGTATGAGCGCTGCGCACAGTACAAGAAGGATGGTGCTGACTTCGCCAAGTGGCGCTGTGTTCTGAAGATCACGCCCACCACCCCCTCAAAGCTGGCCATCCTGGAGAACGCCAATGTCCTGGCTCGCTACGCCAGCATCTGCCAGATGGTGAGAACAATCTCTTTGAAGGTTCAGAATCTGTTTCACTGAGGATTTTGTATCCATTAATCCCATAGTTGTTAAGTTAAACTTTAAAAACAGCTCAAACCTTAAAAGTCGTAAATACTCAAATACAATATGTCCATCAATGTCAGGAAAATGTTAAGAAGTTAGAATTTAAAGAAGATCTATTATCCAAGATTCACATTTTATATGTTTTTGTACTTGCATTTGGGTCTCAACTGCTTCTAAAAACAGCAAAAGTTCTTAAAAAACACGCAGCCAATTAATTAATGTCTGTAAAATGACACCTTTCAAAAAAACTCCTGATTGTTGAGTAACAAATCAGCAGGCACTTCCCCTGACCTAGCTACCCAAACAAAGCCTAGCTGGTTACCTAGCAACCTAGCGAGTGGAGCTCCGGCATGCTTAGCTAGTTTTACTGAAGTATGCGCTGTACAATGGCTGCTGGAAAAGAGAAGTATTTTGTTGTTCACTTACTGTCCTGAAACTACTTGCTGCATTCTTGTGGGTTGTGCAGGATGCTCCACTTCTGCTTTTCAAAGAAAGCAGGTTTTCAACAGTTGAAAACAGTTGAAAAAAAGTTGAAAACCAATGTTTTCAACTGTTTTCACGTGCGAGTGTAAACATTGCTCTTACAGTGACAAGAGGCCCTGAAACAGCTCATTCTGAAAGGAGCTCAGAACAGGCAGAACTGAGCAGACTAAAATCTCATCATCTAAGAATGATTTAGTACAAAAAATGTAATGAAGACATTTAGTATAGAGCTGTGCTAACTGTTCAAGGAAGCATAAAATGTCATCTTTAGCATCAGCAGTGTCTTTCCTCTGATATTCTTTGCTCCTGTGTACCTCAGCATGGCATCGTCCCCATCGTTGAGCCGGAGATCCTCCCTGATGGCGACCACGACCTGAAGCGCTGCCAGTACATCACCGAGAAGGTCCTGGCCGCCGTCTACAAAGCCCTCTCCGACCACCACGTCTATCTGGAGGGCACCCTGCTCAAGCCCAACATGGTCACCTCCGGACACTCCTGCTCACATAAGTACAGCAACCAGGAGATCGCCATGGCAACGGTCACTGCCCTGCGTCGCACTGTGCCCCCTGCAGTCCCAGGTAAGGAAAAAGAAAGGCAGCTTTCTTCTTTACGTCCTCAGTTCTTGATGGATTTGTTGATATAAAGGATAACTACAGGGCCGGCCCAAACCTTTTTGGGGCCCTAAGCAGATTTTACTTTGGGGTGCCTCATATTAATATGTAATAAATTAGATACTTCATCAGTCCTACGCTACACTATCCATGTAACATAACTACTATTAACTTACACTGCAAAAACACACAATCTTAACAAGTATTTTTTTAGTCTAGTTTCTAGAAAGTTTTCTCAGCACTCTTGAAATAAGACAAATTTAGCTCACAATTAAGTTTTTAGCAAGATATAGGAGCTTGTTTTAAGTCAGTAATATTATATAATTGAATATTGATGAAGAGAGATTTCCACTTTTAAGAGGAAATTATTTTATAAGCGAGACATTTCCTTATTTATAATATGAGGAAATGTCTTCATATTACTTCCTCTCATTAGTACAGTGCTTCTCAATTCCAGTCCTCACCGCCCCCCTCCTCTGCATGTTTCTGAATCAGCTGTTCTATTCCAGAACAGCTGATTCAAATGATTGCATGACCATCAAGTACTGCAGAAGCCTGTTAATCACCCAGAGATACAATTCAGGTGTGTGGCAGAAATGAAACACCTAAAACATGCAGGGCAGGGGGGATTGAGGACCGGAATTGAGAAACACTGCATTAGTAGAACCAATACTTAAAGATATTAATCAATATTAAGGATATATTGACTTAAAACAAGCTCCTATATCTTGCTGAAAAGCCACTTTTAAGTTAGTTTTGTCTTATTTTAAGTGAACTAAGGTATTTACATTAGAATTTAGACCAAAAATACTGATGAGATTTGTAATTTTTGCAGTGTGCATCATATCCATTTTATTATTTGTCTTGGTTTTAATCTTATAGGAGTAGCAAACAAGCGAAGATGCTATAATTAATTAGCATTTTTAAATGCAGAGCGGTGTTTGCTGTAACTATTTGGAAGTAGCATTTGCAGACAAACACTGAATTTGCAGTAAGCAAGTTAGCAAGTTTAATATGTTATGTTCTTAAAATGTAAAACAGAAACTGTTGACAGTGTAAAATATGTAATCTATCAATACAAAATAAAATCTAATGATGCTCTTGGGGGCCCCCTGGTGGTGATGGGGGCCCTAAGCACCCCCTTCGCTCATATATGCCTTGGGCCTGCTCTGGATAAATCTTCAGGGAAAGTTGTTACTTGACTGTATTTCCATTCCTTGTACAGGAATCACCTTCCTGTCTGGCGGCCAGAGCGAGGAGGAGGCCTCTGTCAACCTGAATGCCATGAACCAGTGCCCTCTGCACCGACCTTGGGCTCTGACCTTCTCATACGGCCGCGCCCTGCAGGCCTCCGCCCTGAAAGCCTGGGGGGGCAAGAAGGAGAACGGAAAGGCATGCCAAGATGAGTTCATCAAGAGAGCTCTGGTAAGCTTTCAAATATGAAATACTCCAGAATGAACTCAGAATAAATCCACTAATGTTAATGTTCCTCCTTCAGGCCAACAGCCTGGCCTGCCAGGGCAAATACGTCTCCTCTGGAGCCAGCGCTGCTGGTGGAGAGTCACTGTTTGTGGCTAATCATGCTTATTAAGCATAAATACACTCCCCACCTTCTACTCACCATTACTGCATCACCATTTCATAAAAGGGCATTTCCTACATAAAGGAGCGCCTTCAACATCCTTTGTTCACCAGTAAGAGCAACACCAACACTTTGGCCGAAAGAGAAAGAAGTGGAAAATGTTTGTCTCCATTCCCTTACCTTTTATTTCTAAACACCTTTTTGTACAGGTGAAGATTCCCTTTTTGTTTTTACACATTTTGTTCCTTGATCTGCTTCGGACAAGTACAGAGTTTAACATTTACACTGCAAAAAATACTAATCTCACCAAGTGTCTTTAGTCTAGTTTCTAGCACACTTGAAATAAGACAAAACTAACTTACAGGTAACTTTTCAGCAAGACATAGGAGCTTGTTTTAAGGAAATAAATCCTTAATATTGATTTTTATCAGTGGAACTAATAATTTTTCATCAATTTTAAGTAATTATCCAACTAGAAACATAACTAAAAATGTAAGATTTGTGTTTTTTGCTGTGTACAAATACCGTGAAATAAAGTTTGTATCCAAACATGTTGCTTTACTTCCTGTTTGTACTTCTCTTCTATTTGCATGTCACATAATAACAGTGATAAACTGAAGCAGGGAGAGAAGCTGCATTAGTAGCAAAAAGAAGCAGCTTCAAAGATATGTTCCATGATTAACTTCTTCATTTCTGCAGATAAAATTGTCTGTTTTGGAAAAAGGAAGAAAACTTATTGGTTTTTGCAATGTGTGACAAGAAAGGTACTGAGAAGATAAAAGGTGTTATCACTGGGCACCAGACGTCAGTCGCAGCAAATGCTAAATCCATTTTAGTCACAGCGGCCCTTCGCAGGATGTCATCCTCACTTTGTCACCTCTAAACATGGCAGCGGTTGAGTTTCGTAACAGCCGCAGCCTGGTTCTGGCTCAGGCAGAGCCACAGTCCAAACAAAGCGACTTCTCTGCTGACTTAATCTGTAAGTATTAAAATAAATTTGCATATAATTTTTAGGATATCTGTAATGCAGGAAATGAGTTGTTTGAACATTACAGTGAAACACAATGGAGATTAACTTAAAGCTGCAGTATGTCACTTTTAAAACATTAAGTTTTTTCTATATTTATTCAAATTGACACTGTGTCCTGACAGTATAATCCGAGATAATCTGTTAAAAAATTGAGCTCTCCTCTGCCTGCTACTAATATGAACCACTCCCAGTCAAAAACATCCAATCAGAGCTGGGAGGCGGGTCTTAGCGCTGTCAACCATACTTGTGTACGCCGCTCAACGTCATAATGCTGGAGAAACAACTTAATGTTACAGGAAAATAAATCATTAGTGGCTATGCTAGCTAGCTTTAGCATTGGCTTCAGGCTTCATAGTAGTGAAACAGCAATAGCTTAGCAGAGACTGGTTGAGCATGAGCTTGATTGACAGCACTAAGTCCCTCCTCCTGGCTCTGATTGGTTGTTTCTGAAGCGTTCATATTCTGCACAATAATAATATTTACTTAAAAACCTCAAATAGTCTGAGCGGCTGATTATTCCAGATTCATCTTCCACAGTTTTATCTGATGCTTGCTGCAAATTCACATAAATCTAAGTGATTGCTTTTTATAAACATTGTTAGCTTAAAGAAAACCTACAGTAATAAAATCAAATCATAAATGCAATTAATATATTATTTCAGCTGCAGTAATGTAGAGCTGTAAAGCAATCAGATCATGTCTGACATTGTAACTGTAACTGGTTGAGTTTTCCTTTTGTTAGTAGGAATGTCCCTACCAATACTGAAACAGGAAATTGCACAAGAAAAGCAGATTAAGTCATGATGAACGTCATGATTTCTCGAAATGAGTCCATGTCTGTACCTGTCTGTCTCCTCAGGAAAACTGATTAAGTTTCAGATGATAAATAAATGTATTGATTACCAGATTACAGTCAACTTCCTGATCTGTAATCAGCTGTTCCACAGTAACAAGTCAAAGCAGAACAACAAACATCTGACTAAACGACGTCATTACAGTTCAGAAGTTCATCCTGTTTTAGTCACTCGTTTGCATGACAGACAGACAGACACTTTATTGCCCCCAATGGGAAATTTGCCTTGGACATTATACAATAAACAAAGCTGCTTCTGCTATGAAATACAATTCACACAGTAAAAGTCATGTGAATACCATAATAAAAGAAATGTTTAAAACAGATGGCTAAATAAAAACACATTACACGTTCTCACATACATGCCAGCAAAAAACAAAACTGGGTCAATATTTTGCTAATGTAAA